CCTGCCTCTGACACCGGCCCAGCGCCTGCGACGCCCCAGGTCAGGACAGCTCCGCGCCCGAAGCCCCAGCAGGGTCGTCACCTTTCGATGCAACAATTCTCCGTCCCTACCCGTGTAAGTTAAAGTCAGTCTGGACCCCGGGGGCGCGGTGGGTTAGAGCAGCACAGCAAATGAGCTGCAGCTGAGGGGACCCCCAGGCGCCGCAGACCCCTCCTGACCCGCCGCTGCTCCCCTCAGCAGTGGACTTGCCTGTTCTGCCCCCCACTCTGTGTCAGGTGAATCCGCTTGCCGCCCCTGCACCCTGGACTATACCCGAGTTCTGTGTGCATCAATAAATCTTTAAAAAAATTTACACTTGTGTTTGTGGGGACAGTTTTGCAGAATAAAACCGGTGGGTTGTGGCCCAGCTTGGGATCTTCATCTGATGACCCAGTCCACTTCTTTTTAAAGATTTATTTAATCGTTGCAAACGTCATATGGAGTCTGACTTTCTTTCCTCCCCCTGCTCCTTCCCGCCTTTTTCTAAGAAGAAGAACCCACAGAGGGGCAAAGCCACACGATTGAGTTAATCAAAAGACGGTCGCGAGTTGCAACCCTTGCACGCAGGAGGCAGCATCCACTTCTTCATGAAGGGGGGGGGCACGCCCCCAGGTGCCTGGGCTCCAGCTCAGCCGGAAATCGCGGGCTTCGGGCATCGGCAGGAGATGCTGGAAACAGCCCCTGCGACGGGTATGGGCTCTGCTTCTGGGTCACAGACACTTCACTGAGCGGCCACCCCCCCATTTTAGCCCCACGCACCCACAGATGCGCCGCCCGAGGCTGGCAGGACAGGGCTGAGTCCAGAGCTGCCTGCCTTCCTGGTTTCTCTCGAGAGCCCAGGCCCAGGCCCAGTCAGCACTGGGGGAGGGCTGGGCTCGGCGGGGCTGGGCACCCCAGGTGGCATCCTTAGGGGAGCAACCACAGGAACCCCAGCCCGAGCCCTTATGCCACTCTACAGAGGGCTGAAGTTCCACATTAGTGATTTGCTCTTTTGGCTTACACACTGACACTAGTATTCCTCAGAGGAAAAGTGTATTGGCCAGTGTTCTCTAGAGAAATAAAGAGAAACTTATTTTAAGAAATTGGCCCCAGTGACTGTGGCAGTTGGCAGGTCTGAAATCTGCAGGGCCGCCAGCAGGCAGAAATGCAGGCAAGAGTTGAAGTTGCAGGTTGGGTCTGGGCAGTGGGAGGCGGAGTTCCTGCTTCCCCGGGAGCGCACCTCTCCTCTGAGGCCTTCCACTGGCTGGATGAGGCCACCCTCACCGGGGGGGTCACGGGCTCCCCGGTTCCCGCCCCGGCCAGGGGTGTGGGGCTGGTGCCCAGAGAAATTCACCTCCAGGAGATGTTGGGGAGCCCCAGGGTCATGGGAGATACCCCACAGTGCAGGAGAAACTTCTCTCCTAGGTCTCCTTTGGGGGGACACTGGAGTTTTCAAGCGAGAAGGTGAACGCTTCGAGGAGTGGGAGGGAGAGCCCGGTGGGGTCAGTGCCCGGTGGGGTCAACGCCCGGTGGGGGTCAGCGCCCGGTGTGGTCAGCGCCCGGTGTGGTCAGCGCCCAGTGGGGGTCAGCGCCCGGTGGGGTCAGCGCCTGGTGTGGTCAGCGCCTGGTGGGGGTCAGCGCCCAGTGGGGTCAGCGCCCGGTGTGGTCAGCGTCCGGTGGGGGTCAGCGCCCAGTGGGGGTCAGCGCCCGGTGTGGTCAGCGCCCGGTGGGGGTCAGCGCCCGGTGTGGTCAGCGCCCAGTGGGGGTCAGCACCCGTTGGGGTCAGTGC